AAAAACAATTAAAATTAACTTAACAAAACTAAATACTTCAATGACAATTTCTTTTTAGTGACGTAGAAGATTCTAAGTTTAGGCAGTTATTGTGTGACAAAAGAAAAAAGAAAATTAAAATTAAAGTCCAGAAGATTTTCAGGTTAATCTCTTTAATTATTTCTGGTAAAATCCTAAAATTACTCCTCCGTTTGCTCCTAAACCACTCCGATTCCGCTTTCGCTACAACTTCCTACTTTTCTGTTGCCATTCCTGCAGTTATATACGTAGAAACTTCATCGCAGTATTCTCCCATATCCGGCCGGAAAAGCTAAACACACAAGGAAATGGCTGGTGGCGCGTTGAAGAAGCTCACAAAATCTCTTTCTCTGAAGCTATCTATTGAAAATTCTGCACGTGAACTCAACACAAGGCTTGCATCCAACCTAAAACCAATTGGTAATAGGTGGAGTAGTCTTCCTTGTATTTAACCCACAAACTTCTTATTTTTATACTCAATGTGGGATTTTCTCACTTAACACGTCCTCTCACGTGGAAGTCCGCTATGAATGTTGGGTCTTGCCACGTGGGTTAACACGCCCCTTTAAATGCAGGCCCGGTATCAACTTCAGATCTTGTCAGGTGAGTTAACAACGGGTTTTTCATGGTAGAACTTGAGCTCTGATACCATATTGAAAATTCTACATGTAGACTCAAGACAAGGCTTGCATCTAATCTAAAATCAATTGACAATAGGTGGAGTAGCCCTCCTTATATTTAACCCATAAGCTTCTTATTTTTATACTTAATGTGGGATTTTCCCACTTCACACTATTTTTCCACTCTTATCCCTTCAGCGCCGCCGACAATGCCTCCCGCCGTCCCTCCGGCCCCTCCAATGAGGTTAACTCCCGCATCTGCGAATCCGCTACCCTTCGGCCTTCGGCACCCTTCCTTCCAGCATCAGCTCCGAACCCTCCAAGGTCCGTCCTTTCTCCTTTCATATAGAAATCGCCGAATACCGATTAGAATTCTAAATTATTCTTTATCTTTGCGTTAATTGAGGGCATTTTGGTAATTTAGTACCTGTGATTCTCAATTGACTTAAATATATCATAAGAAAATAATTATAAAAATTTTAAAAATGGATAGGACTTACCAAATTATTAGCATTAACCACGTATATAGATTAATTGGTCAGCATCTAATACCTTAATTGATATTAAGATTGAAATTACTGTAATACCATACAAATATTCTCTTTTTCCTACCTCAAATTGTAATAGTTTAAAAGAAAAAAAAATTATTATAGAAGTTCCGTTTGACAGATAACTTCTGGTGGTAACTTGTTCGTGGTACAGAAAACTTGTGCAATTTGCCTTGACAGCTTGAAAGCTAGAAGAGGAAGGGCTATCTTCACATCTGAGTGTTCCCATCATTTTCACTTCAATTGCATTGTATCTAATGTGAGGCATGGTAACCGTATTTGCCCCATTTGCCGTTCTGAATGGAAAGATATACCTTTTGAAGCTCCTAGAACTAAAAGTGCTATTAGTGAGTCTCGAAGTGACAGCTCGGGTGATGCTCGGGTTATTGTTGAAGATACCTACGGTCCACTCCTCCATGTCATGTCACAGTTATCCCTACCACGGTTGGAGTCTGAATTGTTCCATGATGATGAGCCACTACCACCCATCCATTCCAGTCACTTGTCATCTACTCAACCCAAAGCCATAACCATCAAGGCATTTCCAGAGTTTCAAGCTCTTTCTGCTTCAAGTGCCGTTTCCAAATTTGCTGTTCTTGTTGGCATCCATGCACACCCATTTGATGTTGGTACTCACCATTTTGATCGTGCACCCATTGACGTCGTTGCTGTCCTTGATGTAAGTGGTAGTAGTATGGCTAACAAGTTTACCCTTCTAAAGCGTGCTGTTTGCTTTCTTATACAATGTTTGGGCCCTTTAGATCGGTTATCTATAGTTGTTTTCTCATCATTGGCTCAAAGAATATTGCCACTTCGAAGAATGACTTATAGGGGTCGTGATGATGCTACTCGTGCCATCAATTCTCTTTCTTCCTTAAGTGGTGGGAAAAACATAGTGGAAGGCCTCAGTGAAGGGATTAAGATTCTTGAAGAAAGATGTGAGCAGAACCCTGTTGCACGTATTATTCTCATGTCTGATGGTCATGAGACAAACAATGATGGTAGGCATGCTTTGGAATATCTAAACCATTTCCCTAACTTCAATCGTCCAGGAAATCATAGTGAATCTGAAGAGGGGTCCCAAAATCTAACAATCCCTGTCCACTCATTCGGGTTTGGTTTGGAAAATGATTTGAGTGTAATGCATACCATTTCAGATGCATCGGGAGGCATATTTTCTTTCATTGAGTCTATTGACACTATACAAGATGCATTTGGTAGATGCATTGGAGGCCTTTTTAATGTTGTTCTTCAGGATGTCCAATTGACAATTTCATCAATCTCAGCTGGAATACAAATTGATTCAATATCCTCTGGGAGATACAGGGGCACAATTCTTAATCAAGGGCGGCAAGCTAGACTTGATGTTGGACGTTTATATGCATATGAGAAGAAAGAATTCTTAGTGTACCTATCAATCCCTGCATTACCACACGACAAAGACAGGGGATTGTTGGATGTCTTGTGCACATACAGGGATTCAGTAAAAAAGATGTTTCAGGCAATGGGTGAAAGAGTTGTGATACGACGCCCTGAGGTTTTGTATCCAAAGGATAAGGTAATATGCTTTGAGGTAGATCGTGAGAGGAATCATGCTGGGGTGGCAGAGGCCATTGCTAATGCACGACAAATGGCTAAACTTGGAGCTCTAGAACAAGCACAGGCTGTGTTAGTAGAGCAAAGGTCAGCTCTTTTATCTTCAGTGTCAGGCCAAGTAGGAGATAGTCTATGCAACTTGCTTGAAGATGAGCTAAAAGAAATTAGAAGGAAAATGGTAAATACAGAGATGCATGAACTGACCAGACGAGCACACACTCTCTAAGGTTGAGCTGTTGCTCATGGCAGAGGGCTACTACTAGAAGTCCTTCAACAACCATCATGACCGAAGAAGATGGCAATTTAACCCTTGAAAGGACCACTAGCTATGAAACCCCCTCCATGGTTAACATGATATCAAGATCACAAGTTCACAAATCACAATCATGCAGCTTAAAGCACAGCAAGATCGGCGACTTAATTAGCAAGTCAAGCAACAGCTTGATTCAACAATGAACATAAGATGTTAATTAGTTAATATGTAAAATCTAATGTGAATATTGTCATAGAATGTCATAAGTTTGAGATTACTTGGTCTAAATTATATTATTT